CTGCAGTCACCTAGGACGCACCACGTGTCCGTCTGCCGGGTAGCACCGAGGAGACAGACGCGGTCCGGCCAAGGTCGAGGGAGAGGTCCTGCCCAGCCCTCCGCCTCCCCGCGGAGCACCGGCGTCCTAGGCCTAGTCGAGCCCTTCCCCGAGGCCAGTGGGGCGCCCGGGACGCGGACGCGGCCGAAGAGGAGTGAAGCGACCGCGGCGCCAAGGGCAGGGACCGGTGACCGTCCCCAGGCCGTCGCCCCCTGCAGCTCCTATGGCACCAGAGTGAAACCCAGCAGAGAGATTGGGGGCGGCGAGGGAGAAGGGCCCACGGAGCCGGAGGGACCCTCTCTGACCAGCCCCTCCCACCCTGTCTGGCTCGTTGCCAGCCCTACATTCCTACGCAGCGGGGCCACCGGGTTGCAGCAGACAGGGCACTGGCCAAGTCCACGCTGTCCTGGGAGTGGCCATGGGGACCTCCAGCTCCCTCAGGTGTGCACATCCGTCACTGCAGACCCACGGGGACAAGGTGGCGAGCCAACCTGGAGAGAGGAGATAGCTCGGCACCCCATAGGACAAGCCCCCAGCTGGGGTGCTGGGTGGGAGGGGGCCACCCTAACCTTCCCACAGCGCAGGCCAGCGGGTGGGGGTGGGGGAGATGAAGGGATGTAGCAAGTCCCGGGTTACCACCTCTCCCCCAACTGTGGACCACAGCCCCGCCCTTCCCTCAGACATCTTGGAGCCGGGGAGGTGTGAATGGCCTCCTTTGTGCTTCTGAATTGAAGGCAATTAGGTGCTACTTATCTAGAGGGGTAGAAATTTGGGCCATCTACGAAAACCCGCCTCCACCCACCCACCTCCTCCTGAGCTTATAAGTGCAGCCCAGCCCTGCCAAACCTGAGGCAGACCCTATGCTCAGCCTGGCCCTGCCCCACCTGACAGACTGCGGACCCTGTTCCCAGCCCCCATCATCTGTCTTGCAGAGGATTCCGGCCAGGCCCCCACCATCTGTCCAGAGGAACTACCCAGCCATGCCTCCCTCCTCCGCCCTACCTGGTGGCTGCAAGCGGACCTCCAGCTTTGGCTCAGTGGACTGGCTCTCCCAGAGCAGCCACACAGGGCCGGCGCACACCTCCAGGCCTGCCGAAGTCTCCTGGGGGAGCCTGTCTGCCTCAGCCCAGGTGTACTGCAGAGGGGAGCCCCACCAGACTGTGGACATGGAGGAGGTGAAGCTCTCAGAAGTGTCTGCACCGGGGACGCCCGCAGCTGGTAGGTGTGGGGATGGGAGTCCGGGAGGGGGGTCAGAAAGAGGGTCACGCCCCGGCCACATCCGTGTACCCTGGTCATCAGAGGGACATTCTTGCCAAGGCTGAGGCTTAGAGTGGAGTCTGACACCTCCTGCAAGTGAACGCTTCCCCTGGGAAGCAAAGGCTACAACGGGGGCCTTCCTTGCTCAGCCCCCGGGCCTCCTGGGGCCGGCCCACCGGCGCAGTGAGCCACTGCGCCTACACTAGCACTTGGTGCCTGTGACTCAGGCTCTGAGATGAGCCCGTGGGGTGCACCTCTGCAAGAGGGCCGTGGGGAAGTGCGTCTCACCAGCTCATTCAGAGGGGTCTTGGGCCCTGCCTGCGAAGCTGGCGCCCTCCTTTGCCATCTAGACTGCGGCCGGTTCACCGGCTGATGGGGGGCCTGCAGGCTTGCTTAAGGGCAGCCACGGCCTGGATGCCATTTGCTCTCCTGTGGTTTCCAGACTCGATGGAACCCTTTGTCGTTGGCTAAGACGTTCTTAGTCTGTCTTTCAGTCCTTGTGAGTTAACGGCTGTTTTTAGGTTTCAAGTGGCCAAAAGTGGGGTTGATATTATCTGTAAGTTTTTATTTTAAGAAAAAGTTTAAATGATGACCATGGGGACTTCGTCGCCTCCTGGGGGGCGCTAGTGCTCCCTGCATGTCCTGACTGAGCTATTAGGAGAACAGGCCTGCCTGAGACACACGGCTGGTGGTGACAGAGCCTGGGTCTCAGGGACGGGTACACCCGAGGCAGAACTCGTGAGAAGGCTTTCCGAGGATTTTGGGCCTCTGCCTGGGGTGGGCTTCGGCCCCCATGGCCACCCACCCCACCCAGCGAGTGGGAGTTCCTTGTCTGCAGGCAAAACACACTGCTTTCTGGAAGGGACTGCGCATCCCAGGCAGAGGGTGAGGGGCCGGCGTCAGAATTGCTGTCCGCTCTGTTGTCTTCTTGCCAACGTCCACGTTTCTGGGCCCCATTCCACTCTTGAGCTGGAGGGGGAGTGGCTCTCCTTGACCCAGCAGGACGGCGGAGCAGGATGGGCTGTTCTCCGGAGAGAGGCGGGGGCGGGGGGGCTGCTCTCCCCGAGGCCCCAGCTACCATCCACAAGCACGAAGTCTGTCCCCACTTCTCCCACCGGGCAGCACTTCCAGCCAAATGGATTGGGTGCCCTTCCGTCCCCCTCAGGGCCGAGCAAGGAGGCGGACGGCACGCGGGCTCCCCGCATGCGCACGGCCTTCACGGTGGAGCAGGTCAGCGCCCTGGAGAGCTCCTTCCAGCACCGCCGCTACCTGGGGCCCCTGGAGCGCCGGCGGCTGGCCCAGGAGATGCAGCTCTCCGAAGTGCAGGTGAGGTGGCCGGCAGGCAGGGTGGTGGCCTGTGGCCGCCCCCTCTCTGATCTCACTTTCCCCACAGGTAAAGACCTGGTTTCAGAACCGCCGAATGAAGCACAAGCGCCAGCTGCAGGACTCCCAGCTGAGTCCACCCTTCTCCGCACCCCTCCACCCACCCCCTGCCCTGCACAGCCGCCTGCAGCTGCTTTGCCCTTGGGCCTCCTTGCCTGGGCCCCCAGCTCTGGTCCAGCCTCTGGGCTCTTTCTGGTGTCCCCGAGGGGTGAAACCAGCCTCCCTGGCTTCAGTGTGGGCCTCATGCAGCAGGCAGCCTCCAGTGTGCTGCCTCCGGTGTGCTGCCTCCCGGACCCTGGGGGCTGGGTGCACACACTGAGCCCAGCTTTGTCCAGGGGAGCCTGGGGCCTGTGCGCCCCACCAGCGACTGGGGATGCCTTTTGAGGAAGGGAGGCAGCTGACGCCAGGGCTGCGGTGTATCAGATGTGCTGGGTGTGCGCAGCGGTACCTGGCATCTGCCTGGAGAGACAGCCCGGTCTGTATTTACACCACTGTGATGTCCTGGCGTGGGCCTGTGCCCCCCCAGCGGTGGGGCCTGCAATTGGCCCCGCCTAAGACTGGGGATTTATAGCTGAAGACATTCTGAAGCCTATTCCCCTCTGAAAAGTGCTGAAGGGTTGGCGTGGAAAATGTTGGGTCGGCGAACAGTCGGAAGCCAAGCGCGCTGTGCCGCGTTGGGCTCCCACACAACAAAGGGTAACTTACTCAGCTCAAGGGGCTGGAAAACTGGCTTTCCAGTTGGAAAAAATAAAGGTGGAGTCTGTCTTACGCTATATGCTTATAGGCTTTGTGTATGAAAATGAAACCTGACAGGACTGGGGGGAGCAGTGAAGGCATCTGGGGTTTGAGTTCCGTGTTAACAATGACCCCGAAGCTAGAAACCAGAAAGGGACAGAGATGATCAGTTTGCCTCTGAGAAGCTACACCCCGGTGGTGACGGTCACCTCCCCGTTTCTCCGGAGCACATGCGAGCCAGGGACTGCATCCCGTCCATGCTGTCTTGCCCCCTCCCTTGGTGAAGAAAGGCTCGGGGAGCCGGAAACCCCCCACACCCCGAGCTGTCCTCACCTGCAGGGCAGAGCCTCTGTGCCTGCCTCGGTGCAGCAGCCCCAGCAGAGAGCAGGCGGCTCCGGCATCAAGTCCGCAAATGCCCAGGAGCGGGAGAGAGTGGGCCCCTCCCTGAGGCTCCCCGAGGCAGTGCTGTCGTCACCGGAAGGAGAAAGCCCACCAGTGCAAACCTGTTGGAGGGTTCCGATGGTGCGCACCGAGTTCAGATGCCCACCGTCATCCACGGCATCCCAAGGGCGTCTGTGCCACGTGGGTGACTGGTGAGCAGGGTGGGGGGTGCTGGGGGACCCACCGCAAAAGGCCAGTTCAGAGAACCCAGGTGTGCAGATAGGAAGCACGCTTTGCAGGGAAGAGCAGGTGGGTTGAGGACGGAGGCAGGTGGCCGGGGAAGGGGCTGTGACAGGGAAACTTGGGGCACAGCTGGGGAGGGTGTGTGCCCTGAGGCCTGTCAGGGAGGAGGGGCACCCTGAAGGCTCCCTCCCGCCCACTGTGGAGGGAGGGTTCTAAGCAGAAATTCTCCATCCGAGGAGCAGAGTCTGGGTGTCTGAGAACAGAGCCAGAGGCAGGGCAGGGGCTGGTTTGAAGCTTTCGAATTTGGGGGGACGGAAGCAACTAGATTTACTGATTTTTTTTTTACTTAACAGAGGTGCTGGGGATTGAACCCATGACCTTATGCATGGTAAGCATGCGCCCTACCACTGAGCTATACCCTCCCCACCACCACCTCAGAGCTTTTGAATTTTGGCCACGTTCCCAGCACGTCGTGTGGGGTTGTTGACCTATCACTGCTGCAGGTTATGTGAGAGAGATGGGGCTTTTACAGTCCTGTTGAGCCATTTATTCAGGATTTCTTGTGAGCTCAGGATTTGCTTAAACACATACTGTTCAGGCTTGTGTGGCTTCATCTATTGTAACCTTAAAACAAAACTGGATTTTCTCTGCCCCTAAAAACTTGAGCAAATGTCAGATTGTCCCATTACTTACAAATTGCCCAGGGGTTCGGGGGATTCTCTGAGTGTGCGGTCACCCTCACTCCCAGGAACCGGCCCCCCAGGGACTTTGGGCATCACTTGTCGGCAGCCTCTGCCCACTTCTGGGAAACTCAGCCCAGGGCGTCCTTCCCTCCTGCTGCCCAGACAGGCTGGGGGCATGGGGTCCCCTGAGCCTGACTGGCGCGGTAGAGCCAGCTTCACCTCATAGCACGGACAGGGTGGAACAGAATCACCTGTGAAAATCTTGCCAAAAGCCTAAATCCCAGTTTACAGGAACTAGGCACTTAGCGTGGACGCCGGCTGGGGCCTGCCCTGGTGGACCTTGAGGAGGAACCTGATGGGAAAATAGCTGCGAAGCCTGGGGTGGGCAGGCTAGGAGGGGCAGTTAGGGGGGTGAGGTCCAAGGGCTCTGCCTGGTGGCGCTGGGGTGCTCGCCTGCCTTTGTGTGGGAACAGGACCCACAGTCTGCTGGGCCTCGTGCCTGAAACATTCAGAAGGCTCAAGATCAGCACAGTGCAGCACGCGCTGCAGAATGCGGGCGGCTGAACCAGCCGGGGGCTTACGGGGTGCCTGCTGGACTTCCCACCTTTCTGTCTGAAATCATCAGACGAAGTGGCTGCACGGGACGGCTGGGATGCTGGCCCCGCCCTTCCCAGGGCCAAGCATGTGAGCCACCCAGTCCTTGGCACCCTGGCTATGAGCCCCAAGGTGTGGGTCAGGGACCCACCCTCTCAGCCAGGCCGCCCCCGCCAGCCCCACAAGCAGAGTGGAAATTGTGGACTTGCTGAAGAGATGCAGCCCCCCAAGCCTCTCTTAGGGGCGTGGGAAAGACCCAGCCCCACAACCCCAACCCAAGACAATAAAAATCTGACACTCTCCACCCTCAGCCCAGCTCAGCAGCACCCGGTGGCAAAGGGCCTGCCGCCCCCAGGACCACATCCAGGAGCCAGGACCGGGAGGACGAGGGCACACGAGGCTGGGGCTGCACGCAGGCGCCCCACCACCCAGGCCTCCGAAGCTGGAAGGCTGGGCCTCATCCCTCTCCCAGGCCATTAAGGCCCCCGCTCCCAGTCTGGCAGTTGCTGAAAGTGGCAAGGGGGCAGGTGGAGGGAGATCCCTCCCCAGGGAGGCCACGGTGAGGCTTGAGGGACAGGCTTGTTCACCTGGAGCCCCTGGAATCCCACCCCACCATCAGTGGGTCAAAGGTCCCCCCCAGGACTGATGGCCTGTAGGGGTGTCACCTGGCATTTCCAAGGGCCTCCCAGCCCCAATCCTGGCGCCGGGCTGCCTCTTCCTGCCCCTCAGCTGAGCCAGAGCTGACACAGGATGCACAGGACTTCTCTGCCCAACCTCCCAGGCCTATCTCCCTGCCTGGGAGCTGCCCACAAGGGACCCTGCCCCTGTGGCGAGGACATGTCCAGAACCCAGGGAGGACACGCCCCAGCCAGGTGGCAGTGACCCTGAGGGGTTTCCCTCTCTGGGCCCAGGAACCATGCCCTGCAGCTGCCAACAGAAGGATAATGGTACAGAGCAAGGCAGATCCATTGGCTCCCTGGATCCAGCCGTGCCTGCAACCCACCTGTCTCCCCACCACAGGGAACACAAGTGTCTGGATCAGTGCTGCTGTTGCTCGTACACTGAGGGTGTTGTGACAGCTGCTTCTTTTCAGTTCTTTCCGGGGTCCCATGGGGAGCCTCACCAGCAGAGCTAGCCCCCAGCGCCCTTCTGGCATTGCAGGCGTGGGCGGCTGCCTGAGCAGGGAGGGCCTCGGGGGCTGCCCACCCTGCTTGCCGTGCCTGCTGCAGGCCCAACCCCCTTCCGTCACCTTCCGCAGGAGCTGCGGCTCTCTGGAGGAGGTGCAGCCCGGCCTGGGGCTGCCGCTGCTAAAAGGACCTGTCGACCTGTCGACCTGTCGAAGATCTGCTTGCTGGGCGAAGAGCCTGACAACCGCTGTTCAAGCTCCCAGTTCCCAGGGCTCCCTCTGGCCCTTTTCCTACAGCAGGGAGTTAGGACCCACAGGCTCCGGGCCAAGGTGCTCCCACCCAGAGCAGCAGGCCAGGCCCCAGGCAGTGCTGCTGGGCGGGCTGTGTCGGGCACTGTCATGCCCTGGGCGTGTCCTGGTCCCCTGACCCTGGTCATCAGAAAGGTCATCAGAAAGCCCCCCGCCGGCCCCCCAGCTGTTGTGTCGTTTCATTCCCTCATGTGTACGTGTTTTTTATTAAGTCCCCTCAAGACCACCGGTGTGACCCCCAAGCAGCCCAGACGAGCTGCAGCACACATGGTGGAGGCGCCAGCTGTAAGGTTTCCACGCTGCGGTTCACACAGAATCAGCTTTATTGGTTTTTCTGATCAGAAAATCCACTCAGACTCATCATCACAAGTGCAGTGACGCTGTCGGAAGCAGCTCCCCCCCAACCCCTGACAGTCGCTCCTCCCCCAGCTTTTCGGCACATCAGACCCTCATGGCTCCACATCCAGACTCAGACCCACCCCCACCCCACCCCTGCTCCACGGTGGCCCCAGGGGACTGTCCCAGCTCCTGTTCCGGCACCTTCTGTAACTCTTCAGGGCGTCCCCAGCGAGAGTCACCACAGAGCTGGGATCTGCACAGCACCCCCCACCACGTGGGGGCGCAGACCAGCCGGTGGGTGGGGCTGGACCACGCCGTCCACTGCTCCAGGGCACACACAGAAACAAAGATTACCCACTCCCCCAACCCTGGCCAGAGAAGGAGGGCCAGGACCCCCTTGCCTCGGGGTCCCGGATCCTACGTGAGGGATGTGGAGGCAGGTCCAGACACAGGTTGGCGGCCGGAGCAGGCTCTGCGGGCGGGAGGACCTCGCCGCCCCGTTTTCCCATGCCCTACACCTCTTTAGGCCCGACCCTCAAAGAAGTATATGCATAGGAAAAAGGAACAGCGAGCAGCGTGCTGCAGGTCCCGGGAGGGTCCGTGCGGGGTCCGCGGGGTCCGTGGGGACGGGCTGTGGGAACAGAGGCCTGTGGGTGTGAGCAGGGCGGGCCGAGCCGGCCTGAGGAAGAGGCAGGGAGGGCGCCTGGCCTCTGCCTTACCTGGTCAGCCTCGGTGTCCGGGTTCTCAGGGGCCGGTGGGGCGAGCGGAGCCTGGGAGCGCAGAGGAGAGTCCGAGTGCAGGTCCCGGAGCTCTGCCGCAGCCGGCCGTGCGCCGCATTTATGCCACACAGAGGCCTTGGCGGGCGGCGCACAGAGCAGCGGCTGTCACATGTGGTCCAGGGCCACGCTGTGCCAAGGACCCCGCCACCCCCGCACCTGCAAGATTGGGGCACAAAGAGCTGCTGTGAGCAGGGTGCTGGGCCTCAGCCCTGGGGCAGGCTGGCAGCAAGGCCCCGGGGCCTGGGGGCTGCAGGCCGAGACCTGGGACCAGGCCAGCGCTGGCCGCAGCCTCCTCCAAGCTTATCTCCCAGTGCGCTCCTGCTGCGTCATGGCCCAGAAGGCACACGCGGGGGCAAAAGCAGCATCGGGGGCCGCATCTCTCCCCTCCCAGCCCGCCTCCCAGCTGGGGGATGGCAGGGCCTCCAGCCTGTAGCCCAGGCACGGAGCCCCAGGACCCCTGCCCCAGGGAGGCTGCCTGGGCCTAGGGCTGCCCAGGAGTCCAGAGGATCTGGTGTGAGAGCCCTTCCAGGCCTACACTGCCTGATGTGGGTTCAGCTCTGCTCCCAGGG